ATCCTCTTGAAAACATTGCCAGGAGACAATTCTGGCTCTGCTTTTGCCTTTGAAGAACTGGAAGACTTTGTAGGCTTCCAAATAGCCAAAGTTGTACAATGAGCATCATCTTCAAGCTCTGCAGCAGAATTGTCCAAAGGATCCAGCTTTAAATGCCCTGAGATTAGATCCACAAGTTCTTTGTCTTCCATTGTCGCTTTCCTCATAGCAGTGTCATAGGATTGCCCAGATTTCTTCAATTGCCTGGCCTGGGAAAGTAGGACTCTAATCCTTGCATCAGCTTCATCCATAAACTTGTCATTGTCATATGCTGTGGTGTTGATTTTCTTTTTGGGCTCCAGCAGCAATCTTTGCAATGCCAATCTCATTTTGGCTGATGATGGCAAAACACCATTGGGAGCTATCTTCAAGAAGTCAACCAACAAGTCTGCACTTGTGCTCAACCATGCGGTGCAAGGTGCGGTCTTCCAGCTCCATGGTGCATTCATTGGATGCTTCAGGCAATCAAAAAGGCCTTTCTCTTTTGACCTGTCAATTTGCCTGAGCCACCCTCAACCTTTTTGTATATGCCATGGTTCTCAGATTGAGATTCTGTATTGCAGACTTTTGTTTGTTTAAACATGCGTTGTGGTTTCTATTTGCGTTTTGCACACAAGCTGTCCAAAAATCTGGACACGCGTGCACAAAATGTGTTTGTTCGCATGGTGTTTCCTTTTGCGTGACCTATTTGGAGGGATAAAGAGCATCAGAAGCAAATGTTGCAATGCTACTTGCTACTTAGTATATCTTCTTTGCTACTTAGCCACACAACATTAACACAATTTTAACATAACTTTTAAACAATTTGGCAAGGATTGTCATGGTTTTAAAAAACAATTTTAACATAATTTTAAAACAATTTTGGCAAGGATTGTCATGGTTGATGGTGCTTTCTTTTGTGACATTGAGGAAAGAAAATCTATCTTAGCCAACAGATTCTGACACAGCTGCAAGGTTGTCTTATAAAATAACCTTGGCAAATAACCTTGGAATTCTAACTAATAGTTAGAAGCATTTCTAACTAATAGTTAGAAAAAACAGAATAGACTAATAGTTGGAAAATAGTCTTGTCTGGTGATAGAGGTGACTGGTCTTTGCGATCCTGGTGGAACCAAACATAAATATAAATCATCCTCGAGGCCCGCAGTTCTCAGTGTTCCGCCCCCGTTGTTGTGAAATGGGTGCCAGCGCATGTTGCAGATTCCGTACCGGGTTCCTTGTTGACGGAGGACTTCGCAACACAGCATGGAACCACCGTGCTATCGATCCTTCGTAATAAACAAGGTGACCGGATTGCGAAGCGTGCTGCCAACGATGCTGCTCCTATCCACCCCAAATGGGATGGACCGCTACAACAACGTATTTTCAGGCACATGAGCAGTTGGGCGATGTGGTTGCTGAACCTGACCCTTCCCCAGCTTGTGACTTTGATGCCTGCCCTTTCTCAAGAGACTGCTCAACTTTGGCTTCCCCGCTGGCATTGGCAAACCCCAATCAATGCTTTTAACTGGAAGCCAAAAATTCCCATTTGTGACTGTCGATTCTTGGATTGTTCTCCTGCAATTTCTTCAGCGGCGCCGATGGATGCGTTCCTCGTCAGCAGGCACTGCCATCATTGAGATTGCCACGCATTTCCACAAATCTGGATTCAAGATTTCTGGGAACGATGAGCAGCTCAGGGCTGTTTTCCGACATTGGGACGGTCAACAGTTTATTCCTGCGCCCACTGAGAGTGGCCGTAAATCCAACGGACGAAATTTCCCAGCCGGAATCGTCCCTAACTTTGAGTTGCATTTAGGCTCGGACGCCCTTCTTTGTCTTGCTGCTGCTTTTAACTCAGGGCGCGAGTATGCCTTGAACGGGTGGCAGCTTGCGTTGTGTGATCTTTGATCACCTTTCGTTGCTTTTTATGACCTTTGGCTCCAGAGTGGGCCGGAGGGACAGGTAGCCTTGATCGCTCTCTGTCGCCCGGTGTAAAACCCGGAACCCCAAGCCCTAGTAGAAAATGGCTTGCCATTGACATAGTTTGTGACCATCAAACAGCAGATATTCAACCCAAATGGTCAGTGACTACCGATGACAAAAATGTATCATTGCAGAGCTTACAGACACGCTTGATACGCGTGCACATGGCCAGCTTGAATGTCTGGCCTTTTGAGACTTGGGACCCTGACCCTCCTAGATTCCTTAAATAAGGGGCCCCCTTATTTACGGAGTCTACACTTCAAAAAGGACACCTCAAAAAGACGCCTTAAATTAAGGGGTCTAGAGTCGTTAATTTTTTTGATGAATTGGTGAAGGAATCCTTGAGAGGATGTACATCAAATCCTTCAGAGGATGTGCATCAAAAGGAACGGAAAAGAAAAAAAGGAAAAGGAAGAGGGCAAGGAAAAGGAAAAAAGGAAAGAGGAAAAGGACAAGGAAAAGGAAGAGGAAGAGGACAAGGAAAAAACAAAAAGGAAGAGGAAGACGAAAAGGAAAAGGAAGAGGAAAAGGAAAAGAAAAA